CCTACTGGCTACCTGCACTCTTTAATAAGTCTCTTTGTTTGTAAACTACTTGGAGGTGATTTTGTTGATTGCCACCAGGAACCCAGGCTAAGAAAGGAAGCCATGGGGGAGACCAGAGTGGATGGCAAAGAAGACTTAGGTAGAGTGTCCCTGTGAGTGAGGGCTAGGGTCCATTCCCAGTACAAATCAAATCAGGGGTAGTACAATAATGTGTGCATCATTTGTTCATAACAAGGATATTATTATAGCCAGGGTAATCACTTATGTAACTCTCGAATACAGGTACATGTATGTCTCCCAATCATCTTAAGAGCACTAACGTTATGATACACCTATTTCCACAGCAGCATTTTTCCCTTTAAAGTATCTTCTGCGAAGTTGTCATGAAGCTACAGATGGGTTAGAATTGGGGCAGAGCCACTTAATGAAAGAAAATATATGAGCGAACGTACCTCTGACTGCCAATTGTATTTCAATTTTATGACAACATTCTTGACCACAAATTCAAAACTTGACCAAGAAATTGGCTCCAAAAAGAGCAAGTTATATAGTATGAAATGTGAGAAAATACACAGAAGGTGACAGTGAGGCCCTGTCCATGTTCTGAGCCCAGAAACACAGGTGGTTCCAGTTCCCTGTTCTAAGATTGAGTGTGATAGATGTATCAAGGTTATCTTTATGAAGATGAGTTGAGACCATCATTTGAGTACTTGGCATGGAGACTTGGCACATTGTAAATGTTGAAGACATGTTCACCCCAACGGTAAAAGTAAAAAATGTATCTTGGGAACCTGTTTAGCCCTCATCCTACTCATCAGTCAAGATAAGATAATCATTGTCATGGGTTTGTGTATGTCAGGAACCTAGGGAATTTTTGGGCACTTAATAAATGCTCAATAAATGATAGTTCTGCCTCTTCTTCCATATGTTCCTCTCTTCTCCTACCCAGCTCTGACATCCCCAGTTATCTGAGCATCTCCCACTGGACAACAGATCAGTGTGAAGGTCTCCTGCCAAAGACACCTGCTGGCTACCATGGTCCTGATCCTGCTGCCTATTTTGCCCTGCACCTCCTGCAGAGCCCATCCCCAACCCGCCATCTTCCCCCCGCCCCACCTGCCTAACAGACTGTCTCCCACTCAACTCCTGTCATCCCATATTGGCAAATTTGCAGTCAGTAGATCATATTTGCAGTGTGAGGGCATCATTACCACCTGCTAATATTTTTATAGAATTTCATAAACTTGGTCATTCATGAATCATTTACAGTACTTTATTCCAATGAAGAGTTCACAAATCACTCAAATGCTGGCAAAATGCATAATAATGAGTAATATTTCAGGAGGCTTTGCATTAATATGTCAGCTTCCAATACTGCAAGAGATAAATTATTTTGCCAGGTGCTACTTTGGGTCAGAAGCATGGGAAGCTCTTCTGGAGCCTGAGGCAGGGAGGAGTGACAGGGTGGCAGTGGGTCATGGAAAGGGATGGTTTTAAAAAGTAATAGATCACCCAGCCAGTCGAACTCCCTTCCCAGCCTCAGTAAGCAGAGTTCCTAGGAAAGGGGCTAAGGAAATTGCAGATTAGACCTAAACTCTACTTGGGAATAAAATAGGAGGAGTATTTCTTAGTGATTGAAAATGCAGGGCTTTGGAGCTGGAAAAAAAAAAACAAAACAGATATGGATTCCAAATCCAATACAGGGCAGCTGTGAGACGTTGAAAAAGTTGTTTAACAGTTATTTGCTTATCTGTAAAATGGTGTTAACACTTACTTCTTAAGTCTCTTGCGTGAAATGGATTAAATGAGAGAACGTATACAAAGTGTTTAGCACAATACCTGCCATGCAGTGTTCAATAAACAGGGGCTTCAGTGAGGCTGTACTTTCAGGGGCCCAAGGACAAATGTATTCCAGATTACTTCCTATCATACAAATCCCCAAGGCTTAGATCAAAGTGTTTCTTGCTGGATTTGGAAAATGTTAACACATTAACATGTACTTCCATGTGAGTAGCATTTAACGTTAAACAACAGAAACGCTGGAGCAAGGAAGAGGCAGCACATTCAGCCACAGGCTCTCTCCTTTTTACACTTGCAAGACTAGAAACTAAAACATGCGGATTTGGAGACCTATGATTCCGCTCTTTGAAGAACCATATTTGCTACCAACCACGTTGACTACCATGAATACCGTGGATCTAACTGTACAACTAAAATAGTAACTTACTCTTAAATAGGCACTTGAACTGACATTGCAACATTCCTGTGCCCAAAGTAGACCAACATGAAAGTAACCCAGTTCTCATTGTCTAAAAATAAGAGAACCAAACACAGAGTGATCAGGCTTCCTCAAACTTGCTTCTTCGAGGAAGAAGCTTCAGCCAGGGCATGAGGGAAACAGGACAATGACTGAACTGAAGGGCCTGAGGCATAGAGGAAAATGACATCAGAAAACAGGCCCTCATGAGCCCATTGAAGAGTGCACTGCTCAGGGCTGAGCCCCAGTCTGCCAGTTGTATCCCTAGTACTTGTGTAAGAAACTGCATTTCTACCAAGTACCAGCAGCCTTTCCAATGAGGTTGTACCAACAACGTACAACTTCCTGGCCTGTCACCTACACACAACAGAAAGGAATTCAAGCCGGTATATTTTGAAACAAAGAACTAGAATGAAAGATACATGGAAGCAGAGAACCAAGTGTGTCTTGTTGCTGCTGTATTCCCCTACCACCTTGAAGAGTGTCTCTCACCCTACAGATGCTCAGTGAAATATATGTAGAATAAATAAGTTGCTCAATCAATATACCATAAGGTAGACTATGGAACTACAGTAAAACCTCAAGATTATTCAAGGAAAGTTCATACTGCAGATGAGAGATTGGGCTGTAACTGCGAGTCCTTCGGGTTTTTATTTACCTTCCTTCACCTTTAATATCATTGACTATGGTCACTCATGTAGGAAGATCATACAGTGCTTACTATGTTTATGGCATTTTCTAAATACTTGACTTGTATTAGCTCATTTAATCCTTAGGAAATCCCATGAGATCATCATCATTATTTTCCCCATTTTCCAGGTTAGGAAGTTGAGGCAGACACTTTGGCAAGCTCCCACACCTAGTACATGATAGCCGTGATTTAATGCAGCCAATCTGGCTGTGTGCAGAATCCATGCTTTTAACTACTGTAAGCATGAGAAGCTCCAAGCTGCAGCCCAAGCCCTATGTCATTAGCTGTTTAGCGATTGCTCTTTGGCAAAAATTAGTAATTTCATTTTTTATAATCCCTAGAAGTGTCAGCTCTATTCACTTTTTATACACAAGAATCCCAACATCAGGCAGGGTAAGAGGGTTGCTCAAGCTCCCACAGCTCAGTATGCAGCAGTGCTGAGACCTGAATGGCAGATCTCAGATCCTCTATTAGTCTGTTTTCGTGCTGCTAATAAAGATATACCGGGACTGGGTCATTTATAAAGGACAGAAGTTCAACGAACTCACAGTTCCACATGACTGGGGAGGTCTCACAATCATGGTAAAAGATGAAGGAAGAACAAAGGCACTTCTTACATGGTGGGAAAGAGAGCATGTGCAGGGGAACTCCCATTTGTAAAACCATCCGATATCGAGAGACTTATTCACTATCACGAGAACAGCAGGGGAAAGACCCACCCCCATGATTCAATTACCTCCCACTGGGTCCCTCCCACAACAAGTGGGAATTGTCGGAGTCACAATTCAAGATGAGACTGGGGTTGGGGTCACAGCCCTAAATCATATCAGGCCCCAGAGCTCTTGATCACTTTTCTAAGAAGTTATGAGATTTATTGTATCTTTCCTTAGTTCCTTGTACCTGAACTTTCTTGGAGACTCCCATGACCGGCATGGGAAGAGAAGAGGGCAGCTACCCATGGCCTGGTGCCGGTTGTTCTTACAGCAGCTGGACACCAATAGCTGCCAGGTCACCTCTGGTTACTGTCAAGGCCAGTGGGAACTGAGTATTTCTGAGGGCACCAACATTCAATTTATTCCACTTCCTGATTCCCCCTCGGGTATAAGCTGGGACACATGGCTCACTTTTCAGTTCTCACTGGCAGGTGATTTCCCTCCCAGCAGATGCTCAGAAAAGCCTTTGGCAAGGCTTCTTAGATGGAAGCCTGGAAGGCACCTGCATCCTCCCAGGACCCCAGACCTTTGAGCACATTGCCCAGCAAGGGTTCTGCTGGAGGGTGGGGACTGCTCCACCTCCCATCATGCCGCAGCTCTGTGTGCCCAGCACTTTGTGCCTCCAACGCCCTTATAGTCTCTTCTCACTGCAAACTCACAATAATGCATGTAAACAGGTAAGAAAACCAAAGAAATAAATCACTTCCAAATACAACCATTAACGTAACCATTTTCCTTTATCAGTTTTCTTAAACATATACACGTCATGATATGTGCAAATACTCCACTGGAAATGAGGATGTTGTAAGTGTCTGTATGTTGTTTTCATTGAATATCTTCAGTCTTTCCCATATAACTATAACTTCTTCAAAAGCATTTTAAATGGCTATAGAAAACTGCCTTGCAAAATCTGCCATCATTTAGCTACTCCTTATTGCTGAGTATTTAGCAATTGTTTCTACCCTACGAACTGTGCCTTGCTAATTATATCAGGTCTTGGGGTTTATACCTCTTCCAGCTCCAGATCAAGCTGGTCTCTGGGAAGCCATATGTTGCCCTAAGGGTTCTGACATCCTCTGAGATGTCCCCAGGGTCTCCCTTCTTGGTCTCTGGTACCCAAAGTCTGATGCAGGCCTGGAGGGCTCTGTTGATGAGGTAGAGACCCCTCACTGTTACATTGTCAGGGTTCAACTCCATCCACTTCAGCTCCCATAGAAACACCCTAAAGCCATGCAGTCCGTGGTTTGATGAGGCACAGAAATAATGAGCTCAGTGGGAAGAAAACAATCTTTGAAAGCCACATTTCTACACCCAGGGTGGGCATGGGAGGGGTACTCACTTGATAAATAGCGATTACTTCTCTGTCCAAGGTCCGTGTCACAGAGACGCTCCCTGTGTTCTCGTTGATTCTGAAAATTCCTTTAGGCTCTTGATCCACTCCCTTTCCAGTGAGCCGGAACTTGGACCTTTCTGGCCTGTCACTATCAACTACCTGGTCAGAGAAACAGAGCGACATTTAAAACTGTCTGCAAAACACACAGAAAGCACATTGAAAACATACTTCTGCGACCAATTCACTAATCACAGGTGCCAGCACAAAGGTACCTGATGAACCCAGATTTGACTAAAGTAACCGCCAGAAATAGCATCATCGTCTAACACCGTTCATCCTAATACCCGCATCTTTGCAGCTATTAGTGAAGAAGCTTACGAGCACTTGGGTGACATATAGCGACGGATCAAGGAGGACAATCATGCCAGTTCAGTCAAAATTGGACATTTATATTAGTTTTAACTCCATAAAACATTAAAAAAAATTATCTGCAAGCAAAACAAAAGGGGTAATGGAAACAATGTGCTGGGCATTAATCCAAATTCTATGTATTTACATATATCCAATAATCCACAGTGTCACCTGCCCTGTCAATTCTACTAGGTACTGAGCATGGGGCAGAGGAAGCACTTTGTTTCATCAGAAAAGGTTCATACATATATGTACACACACACACACACACACACACACATCTATGTAGGGGGCTTATATATATATAATATGTATATAACCCCAGAACAATATATATTAAAATTCTATATATTAAATATATAGTTTATATATATATATTTTTATATATGTATGTATTTAATATATAGGGGTTTATATATTACCTTTTTATTATATGTTTATATATTATATATTTATACATTATATATATTTATATATTTTATGTATGTAATATACAGGGGTTTAATAGATATTAAATGTATATGTATCTACATTATATACAGATATACATCTCAATTTAGGGGTTTTACATATATGAAACCCCTAAATATTATACATATTAAACCCCTATGTATTAAATATATATAATATATAAAATATATATGCTATGTATACATATAAACATCAATTTAGGGGCATATATATATATATATATTTTTTCAATGCTGGGGACAGGGAACATTATTATTTCCACTTAATGGACGAAACCACTGAGATGGAATGATTAAGCAAGCTGGCCATGGCCGAAGCTATTAAAGAGATAAAAATGGGTTCAAAATCACATCTTCCATTTCACTGGAGACACTGCAATACAACATACAACACTGTCATTTCTGAATTTACTTTATGGAATTTTCCTACAATACGTCACCTTGATTTCACGTTTAAAGAATAAAATGGGAAGGGAAAGGTGGAGGGGAGTAGTTCCAGGCAGAGGGAACAGAAAGGCACAGACAAAGGCAGTAGGCAGACAAGAAAAAGCCTGGACAGTTTCAGAAATCATGAGTTACCGGCATATGCTTAAGCATGTAGAGGATTAGGCTGAGAAGTAGTTAGGGGTCAAAGTATGGATGACCTTTTTATGAGGATGTGCAACTAAAGAGAATTCTTACTGGTATAAGTGGATTCTCAGATGAATACCTTCAAGTATTCATCTATGTCACTTTATCATCAGAACCTTCAAAGGTTAATATTTGATTATAACAAAGCAATTTAAAGGTCACGAACACAATAGTCTTTCAGGACAGAAATGCCAGATATAGGTGAAGGGGAGGAAGGCAGCAAACCACATTGCCATGCATGGACCTATGCAACAATCTTGCATGTTCTTCACATGTACCCCAAAACCTAAAACACAATATATATATATATATATATATATACACACACACACATATATATATATACATATATATACACATATGTATATATATACACACATATATATACATATATATACACATATGTATATATATACACACATATATATACATATATACACACACACACATATATGAAAGCTGATACAGATCCAGCTGTCACCAAATTACAAATGAGCAGGCCCCTACTGAAACACACTCAACAGCGCCTGAAGGGTTAGGTGGCTAGGACAGGAAACCTGCCTTATCCTAGTGTAAATGAATCCCCCACTATGAGGCAAGCCTGCAATTCCGAGGCCTGACACCAGGTGTCACTGGTGCCTAAGGCAGCATGAAATTCATGTCAGGGTTCATCCGGCAGGATCACTGCAAGCAAGGCATAGCTCCATATGGCATTACAGTTTTTTTCCTAGATTAAAAAAATTATTTATAAAAATACATTGAGTGTTGACTAAATGCCAGTTACATCTGTTTGTATTTTTAAGAGTAACTGAAAACTGGATATAAAGGAAGATTAAAAATAAGGTATGTGATACCTTCTGATGAAAATAATTTTCAGTCACTGCTTGACTTGATTTAATCCAACTGGTATTTTTCCGCTGACCCCCTACCAGCTGCCTGGAAGCCCCATGAGATCAAGAGCCACAGCTTACTGGGCTAACCACTGGATCCCAGTGCCCGGCAACTAGCGAGAATGAACTCCACTGATTAGACAGATGTATGTTGCAATCCCAGCTTTCCCAGTGATCCACTGTGTGACCATGAACATGGTCTATCATCTCATCTTCAAAGTGTACCACTTACTTCCCAGAACTGCTGAGGCTTTAATGAGATGGCACCTATAAAGTACATGTCCTGGCACACAGACGGGGCTCAGTTAATCATAGCCAATAATTCCAATATTAATAGTAATCCTCACAACAAAATTACACTGTTGTTAATGGGTAAGACTGGTATCTCTGTCTTTTTCTGAGGGAATAGGTGGTTTCCTTTTTTATTTTTATTTTTTGAGATGGAATCTTATTCTGTCACCCAGGCTGGAGTGCAGTGACATAATTTTGGCTCACTGCAACCTCAATCTCCCAGGTTCAAGTGACTCTCCTGCCTCAGCCTCCTGAGTGGCTGGAACTGCAGGTATGTGCCAGCACACCTCACTTTTATATTTTGAGTAAAGATGGGGTTTCCCCATGTTGGCCACTCTGGTCTCAAACTCCTGACCTCAGAAGATCCATCCGCCTCAGCCTCCCAGAGTGCTGGGATTACAAGTGTGAGCCATCATGCCCAGCCTAGGTTTCCTTTTTAATAACAAAATTCACAGACCTCCCAGAAAAGCAGTGCTCTGGAAACAGTTCCCCGTGTGGGAAGGGGTCACCAAGCACAATCGGCTCTTCTCTGTCACTTCCATCATTATTGTTTCACCCTTCTTTGCCTTATTCACCACCTCTGCCCAAAGGTGAACTGAAACTCCTTCTTCCTCTTGTTCTCCTAAGCACACCTGAGATGAGCAGGTCCTTTCTGAAGAACTTACTAATGCAGGATGCATTCTCATGAGAAACTAACATGGGAATTCCACAAGAGCTATGAGGCAATCATGCTTCCCAAGAAGGGGTTTCTCTGACCTGTACATCAGCCAGACACAGGCCCAGATGGTGAGCACCTGCCAGCAGAAGCCTTCTGGGCTCTTTATTATCTTTTCTTGACCCTTCTCCGCTCAGAAGAAGTTGGGAACACAGCATCCAGACCTTCTAGAAGAAACAAGGAGGGGGTGGGGGAATGCGCCTCTTGGGACCAAACACCACCACCACCCTCCCATTTCTCTACCTGCCACTCAGCACAGAAAGCTGCATTCTAGACCCAGAAATAATCACATGGCAACTTTCCCTTCTGCTGGCAAGGGTGGATGTCAATCATTTTCTTTCCTTCTCAGAGAGCTTGAGCTACTTGATGGTACAGAAACAAGGTCTTAGAGGAGGACCTAGCTGAGTTGGCACTCGCTGATGAATTGAAATGACTTATTCCTTAGGAAAGAAGCCATCGCCCGTTGTGAGGACCCCTGCTTAGCACTCCACACATCTGGCTCTCTTCTCTGTCTCTCCAACTTTTTGTGTTCTTAAGCATGTGGCTGCTGAACCTGACTCCTGCTCCCCAGAGCTGTGTCCACTTTGAAGGAGCATTCACAGCCAAAGATGGTGTTCCCAGACTGACAGGCCCTATGGGACCACCAACACAGGGAAGTGAGGGGGGTCCCTTTCCCTTCCAGTAGGGACCCTGCCTTCTCTAGAATAACTGGTCTCAAGATGTGATTCACTGGAACAGTATCAGCATCACTGGGAACTCACTAAAAATGCAAATTTCCTGGCTTCACCCAAGCCTCTGGAATCAGAAATCAGGGTAGGGGGAGAATTGCTGGCAATCTGAGCTTTAACAGTTCCCCTCCCCAGGTGATTATGATGCATAACCAAGTTTGAAGACAACTGCTTTGGGCAGATTTCAGCACCATCCTGTTCAGTATCACTGATGCTGGTTTCCACCGCTACTGTTTGGAGCCCTCTGCTAAAAATAGGCTGGGTCTGTTTGCCACCTTCTTCTGAGACCTATTTTAAACATATAACACTAACAGGAACTCTTTTAAAAACCTGTTTCTAAGACCTCAGAAAGCAGAGTTGGTTTCTCTTAAAGGCACTAGACCAATATCTCTACGTGTGTCATAGGCACTCCACCGTTTGGAGGAACCTTGGAGAGGAAACCATGAAAGTGGAGTGTGGATACTCACTCTTCAGGGGAAGAGTAGGTGTCTTGGCTCAGTTTCAATCCAGGAGGAAGCTAAAGCCCCCCAAATTACCCACCACGTCTCTGGCTTCTTTGTGCCTAGCTGCCTTTTCACAGGGACCCCAAGATATTCCAACCTCATAAGCTGGGGAATGGGAGGTATGCAATGACCGTGACCCAAGGATACACTCAGCCATGCTTCAAAACCATCCCATGCAAACCAAGTATGTTTGCAGACCACCTTTATTACGCTGTGCTAAACTCCTGGAAATTCTACAGCTGCAGCAGCTGAGCCAGCAGCCCCTTTGTTGTTGTTTAATGTGATGAAATATAAGAAATCCAGTGCACTCCGCTGGTGAAAGCAAACCCTGCCCGAGTTGCAGCAGCTGTTAAGGCCCATTATATACTCCATAGCAGGCTTCACAATTAGCGAGGCTTTCCTATTATTCTTTGTCATTCAACACCTCTTTTCACAATGGGATTTTTTTTTCTTGTCCTCTGAGTTGAAATGAAAAAAAATAGCTAAGGATGAGAAAGAACTCAAGCACCTGGTGACAACAC